GGATGAACAGGACCCCGTGGTGTTGCCTCTGGATGAACAGGACCCCGATCGATCGAGCCGGTTGGGGCTGGATGAACAGGACCCCGTGGAGGGGTGGATGAACAGGACCACCCTGTGGAGGGCAGGATGAACAGTAGACGGTGGAGAGGTGCCCGTGGGGCCCGTTTATGGCCTAACCGAATTAGGCCCAGTAGTGTCATCTGGGTCATCCAATATAATTCTAGCCCGTTTTAACTTCTAGCCCATGTATGGCCCATGACGTCTTTCGGCCCATATGAGGCCCTTATTACTCTCGGCCCATTAACGGCCCGTGGTAAAACTGGCCCGTAATGAACAGTGTATCACTTTGTACCTATTAATGGCCATGGTGAAACTGGCCCATAATGAACAACGTATCACTTTATACCCATTAACGTGGGCCATTTCCAACCCATGTTATCTTTCGGCCTTCTCGAGGCCCATTTATTCTTGGGCTCATTTCCACATTCGTTTACTTACGGCATGTTACTGTCATTTTCTGCTTGTGGGCCAAATTCAGCTCGTGGTTACAGTCGGCCCGTTTGTGGCCCGTTAATACGTTGGGCCGTTTTCAAAGCGTCATCAAAATACGGCAGATCAACGACGGGCCGTTATGGTCGGCCCATGAACGGACGATTTCAACTCTAGCCCATATATGGCCATAATGTGGTCTATTATTGGCCCATGTTTGGCCAACCGATCATAAGCCCGTAGAAGGCACATTGATGATACGGCCTATAGAAGGCCCATTGTGTCTACGGCCCGTATAAGGCCCATTGTTTCTACGCCACGTAGAAGGCCCATTGTTTCTATGGCCCTTAGAGGGCCCATTGTTTCTACGGCCCGTAGGAGGCCCATGTAAACTATAGCCAGTGGGCATCAAAGTCCGCCACCAGTGCAAATATAGGGAACACCCTACACTATACAAAAATGGCTTGTTGTTTTCTTCAGCCGGTGGCTGCATGTTAAGAACAAATTTTGTATCGCACCAAAACAAATTACAACTATAAAATAAAATGAAGGTTGGCATAAAAGTTAACAGTCTAGTAGATAAATGCACCACCAGAAGTTCAGAAGCTCAGTTCATTTGACCTGACTGTTACGTTTTCATGTTGTATTGTCCGATGGGGCACCATAACCTTCACCTTTAGTTCTCCTAGGCTCTTGAACAACATAGCAAATGTCTGATAGTCTGGTTTCAAAACCATGCATATCTTGACAACATCGAACAATGTCTCTCCTTGTTTCACAAAGGGTCTCTGTTAGGGAATGGACTTGTGTCTGGAGCGCAGATACAACATTGTTTTGAGCTTGCATATCTTGATCATGAGGCAGTTTGGACGAGATTGCCTTAACAACCAACCCAGTTTTATGCAGGAACGTGCTTTTGGCACTATTAGTGGACAGGTACTGACCCACTGCAACAAGAGCTGACATTGCGATGATAGTTGCCTCGCCACCTTCAGAAGGTGGCGGTTCCACCATTTTTTCCACAGTTCACTGAAAAGTTATGGTTTACATTAGTA